TCATTCGATCTGTCCCTCCTTTTCAAAACCCTTGTGTACTTCTGCTTTCTTCTTCTTCTTCTCCCTCTTTCCTTCTACTTTTCTCAATCTGAAATCCTTTGGAATCCAAGACTGACTGTAGTCTTGATCGACTACTCCATTAAAGCATGTCTTGTATCTCCATCCATCTTATTTTTGGAACTCACCACTACCATCAAATTCACCTATYAGCTACATGTCTCTTAGCGTCAAATGAGTTGACATCTTTGACCTTCTCAATATCCATCGTGTCTCCTACCTTCTACCCTCCCCTAAGCTCTACAAGACTACAACTACCAATTGACCTTATACTCTTGGTTCAATTTCAAGCTCCTCTTCTCCATAAATCTCACCTACTTCTTGCCAATAAAGAAATCAGCTTCTAGCTGAGCAACTGATATGTCTGAAGTCTCTACTAGGGGTGTAAACGGATCGAATTTGAATCAGACCAGACAATATCCAAATTCGAATCTGATTAAAAAATTCGATATCTGATGAATATTGAAAATTAATATTTGATTTCGAATTTGATTAAATATTCGAATATTCACTTAGATTCGAATCGACTAATTAATTATTTTAGGTAATTAATAAATATATAAAATAAATATTTTATTTATATAAAGTACATAAATATATAAATTATTTATATAATTTAATTATCATATATATATACTATATAAAAATTTAAATATTTTATATATTATATATAAGACTTAAATAATTGGTCGAACTCAGATATTTATCGAATCGAATCAGGTCATATCCAAATTCAACCGATCAAATATTCGAATTATCTGAATTTGATTCGATTATGTCGAATCTCGAATTCGAAATTGGATTTTCGAATACCGTTGACACTCCTAGTCTCTACAAGAATCTAGCCTAACTAATCAGATTTCCAGTTAACACTTCTCCTATCAACCTCTGTATTCTCTTTATAGCATTTTGATAAGTAAATAGAAAATTTTCATTAATCAAAACAAAAGAAGGTACACCCAAGTAGGGTTTCGAGGCAACACCCACACATACACTAGATTATAAAAACTTTCCATATAACAATACATCAACAGAAAAAGCTGTCAAAGGTGTCATGCACCAAGCTTGAAGAAGTGGTTGCATAGGTTGTCAAAGAGCACTATTGATGTTCTCTTTATAGCATCACTGATCACTATGAAAGACATTAGATTTTTCTACTTCTTTGACATCAAAAACCAGTAAGCTATCGTCCACCCAAATGTGGATTTCTTTTTTTTCCTAATATCAGCAACAGAAATTACTTTCATTAATTGAGAATTAAATCATTACATAAAATACTGGAACTTAATCCAGCAACCCATTCATTTATATCCAGCCCATTACAATTCACCCGAATGTGGATTCAGAAACTGAAATTCCTTTCCTTCTCCAGACAGGATCTCATTGCCCTCTATTCTTGCCATTGACCTCAGTTTTTAAGTTTTCTTTACCTGAAGGAAAATTTTGTATTCAGATCAGATCTTACAGTCCATGATTCAAATCCTACCTTTTTCAGTGGTACACTAAGCCAAAATCTTATAGAATCCTAAAAGTGGGAAAGTAAATCTAAAAGGCAAGGCATGATAGATTCAAGTGGAACTGTTGGTGTTGAAATGACTATTTACCAGTTCCATGCATTATCATATAGAATCTATAAATGAAAAATAAACCTTAATGGCAAGGAATAGATTCAACTGGAATTAAGGATGCTGATATTGGCTATTTTCCACTTCCATGTATCTATACCATGAACCAATACAATAATGCTTTCTCACAAGAACTCCTTATGATTGAATTCATTTACCTATTTAGAAGAAAAATATAATGTTTTTATCTGGCCGGTATTTGAAAAAATAAATTAATTCTTATTTTCTAATTGCAGATTAATTACTGAAACTGCACGGCAATCCCAAAGTGGGTGGAGAACTTCAGGAGATTGGAGTGAAATTGAGGTCTTGTGAGCTCAACTTTTAGCTGTTACTTATGGATGGTTGTGGCTAGTAGTCTGTATATTTGAGTAGTAAAAAAATGTTTATACTTTGTGGTACTTTGTAAGTAGCATATCCATATGTCAAGTTTTCTTTGGAATCAGTAATGATTTTTCTGCTAAAGGTCTAAATATTTTCTGAATCATTAGAATATGAAATGGAGAGTACCTAAAACTAAAAGTGACTTAGCTGACCTGTTTGTAACAACAATTATCTATTCCATTTCTATTGGAATTGCACTCCTCTCAAGCAAGGTAGAACTAATTCAGGATTCACTCAAAATGCTGTGCATTTCATTCTGATCCACGCACTCATCGGGAAACCAATATTGAAAAACAAGTTTCCAATTAAAAAAAAATCAAATTAGAAAAGAACAACAGGGTGTCAGCTTATAATATTTGGTCCAGTTACAGGTCATAGAGTCAAATTTTGGGAAGAAACTTGGTCGGGTGATATGCCTCTTACTATGCAGTACCCTAGACTCTATGTTTTATCCCTACATAAAAATAGAAGTATTAGGGACCTTGTGACTCTTTCACCCAATGGGTTATCTTGGAATTTGGGACTCAAAAGAAACTTGAGGGAGGGGAAAAGTGAGGAAGTCTGCAGCTTATTAAAAACCTTAACCAAGTTTTCCTTCAATTAGAAGGTCATGGCAGTAGAGTTTGGTCACCAGATCCTATGGGCTATTTCACTTGTAAATCTTTCTTTAGAGTTCAATAATTCTCCTTCTGATCCTTATTCCTTTCCCTTTCTTGAGATCTGGAATTGACCCAGAACACCAAAATTTAAAGCATTTGTATGGGAAGCTACTCTTATAATCATAATACGTAATCAAAGAAAACGAAAATCATGGTACCTTTGCCCTCATGTGTGTGTTCTTGTGGGGGAAAGTGTTGAACATCTTTTTCTTTCTTGTCCCTAATCATCAATGGTGTGGACTGTGGAATCATTTTTTCACCCTCTTTGAATCAATATGGTACTGACCAAATAATAAAATGGAGCTATTCAGCAATCATGTTCAACCTCGGCATTACCAAAAAGGGAGAATTTTGTTGTCTTATACCAGAGCAACTGTGCTGTGGACTCTGTGGGGAGAGGAATGCAATATTTTTTGATAATACTCAAGAGATGTGTACAATACCATAGAAAATGTATGGTTAAGATGGCTAATTGGGTACTCACTACCAAAGCATTTAAAGGTCTTAAAACCGATGATATACTAGGAGTTCAGGATAGAGTGGGGCTAGCCTCCTTGAGAAAGAACTGTATTGAAACTTAATGGTCAACACCAGAGGCAGGGAAGCTGAAATTCAGCTTTGATGTTGTCAATTCGGGGTAGTATTGGGCATAGGTTTGGCAAGAGACCATCTTGAGAATGTTATAATGAGTTTTACAGGATCAATTGGTGTATGATTAAAATTAGCCCAATCTCAAGGATTGATGAATCTGATGATTGAAGGAGACTGTAAGGTGCTCATGGGATGGATGGAGAAAAAAGATGAGGGTCCTTGTAGTCTGAAATAGATTATTAGAGAAGCCATTGCTTTGGCATCAATGTGAATTGCTTCAGCTAACTCAATTGCTGACGCTTTGGCAAATCTGAAGTGAACAGGAACAATTTTTATGGCAAATACCAGGGCCTGGCATTGCTACAAGTCTGACTTAAATGTGAGCATCCCATTTAAGTCATCACTAACAAGTCTCTGCACATGAATAGGAAGCTCATTGAAGTTAAACCAAACACTATCAAGACCATGGGAGCATCTCAAATTGGCTAAGCCATTGGCCACCTTAATTTTTGAATTAAAACAATTATTTGTTATTGATTAAAAAACAGAACTAATAGTGTAGACTTGATATCTGTTCTCCTTTTTCAAATGATTCCTTTTCTTTTCTCAAATAAAACTTCTTCTCTTGTGTGGATATACTTCAGAGATGAAGTTGTTTCAACACTTGTGCTGAAAGATCTTAAATATTTTTTATTTTGATTAGTTTCAAGAAGCTTGATTAAGCAGTTAAAGCTCTTACAAATATTATTCTTGAAAATGATTTTTATGATTTTACCTATTCTGTAATCCTTTTAAATTAATTGGGATTATTTTCTATCAGGGAGCATGGGTGCTAAAACCAAGAAATTCAAAACCAACATCAGTTGTCCATTTCATTGGTGGTATTTTTGTTGGAGCTGCCCCTCAGCTTACCTACCGTTTGTTTCTGGAACGCCTTTCAGAAAAGTAAGTGGTTTTTTACTATTTATTACTTATAATTTGCTTTAGAATATCACTTTTTGGTAATCATAGTTCATGGTACATCATGCATTTGATAATCTGATTTATGGTAATCTTGGAAGTTACATTTAGTTAGTTTAGATAAAAATATCTTATACTTATTGTTTGGTAATAGAAAATGGAAAATTTACTAAAAGGAAAATAAAGGAGACAATAGGTAAAAATCACCTAGGAGAATACAAATAAGTAGAGAGGAGGGCAACCTTGAGGTGATGGGCTCTCTTATATTTCATATAACGAAAAAACTACCCAGCATTGATGTGTGCCAAAAAACTCGCTCACTCCTCAGGGGCAAGATTATCTACAACTGAACTGATATTTCTTGGAACCTATTTGAACAAGGGCTTCAATCTGATGACAGAGACAGAGACCATACCATTTTGGGATGGTTACTGAATCTTTCCAAGGAGACCTAGACAATTCTCTCAATCGAGTCAACCACAACCCTGGAATCATTGTTGTAAACTGTTCTATTATTGATGCAGGGGTAGTTATGTCTTTTCCTCTTTTATTATGTCACCCTAATATAATAATAGAGTGGGTGCAACCAGGCTCACTATGATGTTCTCCCAATCTTCTATATTCTTTCTTCCTCTCTTCTCTCTTTTCTTTTCTCTCTTCTTCTTCTTCCAATCTATATTGGTTTACATGGTATCAGAGCAGGTTTGTAGTAACTGGCAGCTGAAAGGAGAAGATCTTGGTTTGTACAATCTAACCTGCAACCCTTTTTTTCATTTTTTCCTATTTTAGTTGGTCATAAACTCATGGTACCAAGAGAAAACCATTTGTTGGTGACTAAATTCTGCAGATAGAGGTATAAGGGGTGTCTAAACCTGAACTACTCTGCTCTACTGGATTGTGGGATCTATATGACTGCTGGGATGTGTCCCAAGTGCAGTAAACCTGAATGTATGATGCATATGACTGCTGGGGTGTATGCAAAAGGTCAGATTCACTATTATAGATTATTTATGAGGCTGTGCAGAGTTATTTTTGACCATGAATTGAAGGGTTTACAGGGCTGGAAGTCAGTTCAAGACCTTGTTTTACATTGGATTTTTGCGCTGCTAGGATGCAGAGGTGTTTAAACTACTTACAACAACCTTTATGGGTCAGTGGGAACCTATATTTTACTATCCATATTGATAATAGTGCTGCAGACTGTTTGGTGGGGCTGACTATAGACTGATGGCACTTCAGGTTTGAGATATTCTTTGGTTGTGCTTGTTTGATGTTAAAATGCTCGAGTCAGGGGTATTTTGGTCATTCTGGTGTATCTTATTGAAAGTGAAATGTCTATTGTATCTGAGTTTAAGTTATGTGTCCCATCTTCTATGAGGGACAAAATTGTCTTTCTTGTAACTCAAGTTTTCATGAATAAAAGTCAAGTGGGTCGGCTACGAGAGGTACTTTTGTACATCCTCTCTTCTAGTCTGGCCGAATACTTTTCTCCTCTCCTTCTTCTTCTTCTTTCTCTTTTCTTTCTTCTTTCTTCTTCTCTACTTTGACCTAGAAACAACTAGGGTTTATTCACATTTGAAAAACTTGGTATTGCATATGAGAAGCCGCATTGATGTTGTATTGGGTAAGGGTATTCAGTTCACTATGCTCACGAAGTGGCAGTCAACTATTATGTGTTTGGTGGCCCTTGCCAAAATGCAGCCTCTTAGCATGTTCCAAGATCTCTTTAGCATTGTCTAAGAACATAAAGTTAACATTAATCTTCAGTCCATACTATTCCATATCCATGTCATGATTTGTGCAATCTTGCACCCAATCKTCATACCCAAAACTACCATCCAATGGCTTCTCATCATATGGAAGGTGATATTGTAACTTATTTGCATTAAATCTCTCTAATAAAATAAGTGAGGGTGGGCCTCTCACCTTGCTCTTCCAATTCTCTTTTCTCTTTACATTAAATCTCTTTCTCTTTTTTTTTTTGCTAAACCCTAAGAAACTCATTATTGTTACTGTTAGAGTCAGCTGAATAAGGATAGATTAGTCAACTCACCTTTGTTAAGTTATGTGCTTATGTGGCAGTCTTATTAGAGACTCTCTGTCCCATACTTAAGTGGGGGCAGTTTAGTCTTTRTACAATTAATTAGAGCCTAATCACTATTAAGAGGTCGACTGATAGGGTTTAGTCTATCAAGTTCGACAGTTCTTTCATCTTCTTCTTCTTCTTCTCTTCTTCTTCTTCTTCT